GGCCACTTCCCGGGCCACCTGGTGGACGTCAGCGGCGCCGGGACGCTGTCCCACAGCTACCAGTATGAGGTGTGCCTGACGGGGGACGCTGGGACGGATGAGTTCAAGTTCTTGAAGCCTGTTATGGCTAATCTGCAGTACTAGAGCACAAAAAGGGGAGTGAAAGAAAATCTGCCACCATTCAGGTTCGTTTGTATTTAATTTCTAATAAGAACCTATCTAATAGACACACTTTAATAATTTCTTGTTGGTTAACTACATTGTGAACAGTTACCACCATCAATAAGCTGTTTTTCATTTTCTGTTTGGTTTATTCCCATTATCTAGTTTTTTCTTTTATGCCCAAAAGAACAGGGGTGTAGGCCAGAGCTTCAGCAGTGAGACAATTCATCAGAGAGAATGGGGAGCAGAACAGGCAGATCCACTGAAGTACACTGTTGAGGGGAGCAACAGGGCAAGACAACAGAGGTCTGCTGCATCATGTGGGGTTAGCTCCCTGGCTGGGGATGGAACTCTTGCCCCATTCAGTGGTAAAAAATTGAGAGCACTGAGACTTACACCTGCTACACCCGAATAACTATTTTTAAGCTTAACTTCACTAATTTCCTTGTTCTCATATGTGAGCTGATGAAGCATTTCGTTCGGTTTTTACTTTGTCTTTTTATAAGTTATTGCTTACATTTTCCACTTTAGCTTTTCCCCTTAGAACTTCATTATTAAAACAATCATATGCCTATATTTACCACTTGATTTCTATTTTCCTTTCAAAACTTACTACTCTTGATTTTTATCATAGCAATATTCTTTTTTTTTTAAAGATTTATTTATTTGTACAGAACTGGGGTACAGGCCAGAGATGCGGAGGGTGAGAGAATTCACCAGAGACAGAACGGGGAGCAGAACAGGCAGATCAACGAAGTACACTGCTGAGGGGAGCAGCGGGCGGGTCAGGAGAGGTCTGCCACGCCATGTGGTCGCCTCCAGGGCAGGCGGGAATCAAACTCATGCAGAAGTGGCTTAAGCTTCTCAGTGCTGTGCTTTAACCCGCTGTGCCACCAGGGAGGGCCACAATATTCTTTTGATAATTAAAAATTTACCTAGAAGAACTGGGATGTAGGCCAGAGATGTGGGGGTGGGGTTAGAGGATTCACCAGAGACAATGGGGAGCAGCCTAGGGGGCTCTACTGAAATGCACTATTAAAAGGGAGTGGCAGGCAAGACAGGAGAGGCCTGCCATGCCTTAAGTGAGTTAGCTCCCTTGGGGTAACAAACTCAGGCTTGTAGTAGTGATAGCACTGACACTTAATCCCTTGACCACCCTAGAGCAATATTCTGAAATTATTTCTTTAGAAGTTTCTATTTCCCTCTTTTGCTATGATATTTGTATTTGTTATGTGCAATCTATTTGATCAATCTTATCGGAAAATAGGAAGTACTATAAAATACTGGGTGTTTATATATATTTAAGTTTGAAAACCAAAAAAGAAAAATTGAAGCATCTTACAGCATCATATAGAAATAGTTAGCAATATATTTAATTTTTTTTCTTTCACTATTTAATCTGTATTTTAAAAACCAGAGGATTTTAATGACTAACAATATAGTCCCATACAATTGAAAAATGAAACAGTAGTCATTAAACAAATATATGATATGACTTTTATATTTAAGAATAAATATACCTTGGCCGGTCTAGCCTTTTCTCTGAACAATAATCCTCAATTTAATGTTTCCCTTTCTTATTATGAAAAAAAAGGAGCTTGTTTCTAGATATTAGGCTACTGTCTAGAGCCCTATATGAGACAGCTGCTATAATTTTGTTCTTTCACAACTTTCAGTGGTGTTAGGATAGGCTTTTAGTGTGGTCTGTTCTTTTCCTCCCTTTACTTGGTGTAGAGAAAATAGGTTCCATCATTAATAAGAGGGTACTTGAAATGGAGGTCAATCCCTCCTTTAATTCTCTTTTTAAAAATATTTATTTACTTTATTTATGCATACAGAACTAGGGTACAGGCCAGAGCTTCAGGGGGATAGTGAGAGGATAAACCAGAGACAGAGTGGGGAGCAGAACAGGCAGATCAATGAAGCACACTGCTGAGGAGCAGTGGGCGAGACAGTTCACCTCTCTGGCTGTGGATGCTGAAGTAGCTTCCCAGTAGTGCTGTGCTTTAACCCGTTGCGCCACCAGGGAGGACCTCCTCTTTAATCCTGCCATTAATTTTAAAAGTACTATAAGGGGGGGTACAAGAAAGAAAGTGAGCAGAAATTGCAAAAAGAATAAGTGAAAGTACCACAATGTTCAAATGGCAAGGATGAAAATACTGAAAATTGTTTCATGGTCTACTCACTAGATCATGCATTATTTATGCATGTTTTAATACAGCTAGAACTTGCTGTCTATTTGCCAACCACAGATGACTAAGGTATAGTTTCCCTACTGAAGTCGCTTACATATTGAAGAAGGGGTAACTTGGCATCAAACAGGAAGCAATATACAAGGGCAATTATACAAGTTATAGTGGGGGCTCAGAGGAAGGAAAGCCTAAATGCTTCCTTCCAGTCTATACAGTTTCATGTCTATTTAAGCAATGTAATTGGATTTTGATAACATTTTATGTTAAAGGTGAAACATTTCTTTTGTTGGTTTTTGGTGCTCTTAACTCAGATGTTTCTGAAAAGTAAAATTTAGAGGTCGTTACCCTTTCTCTCTGGTACCTGATACTGCTTGGAAGTAGTGCCAGGAGTAAAAGTCCTCGTAAAGAATGAAATCTAACATAATGAAGTAGACAGCTTTCACCACTGGAAACACCTTTCCAACAGTTTACATTTTTTAGAAGATTTACTTTGGGGGCCTCCCTAGTGGCGCAAGGGGTAAGACACAGCACTACAAAGCTATCAGCAGCTACTGGAGCACACATTCTATCCACATGGTGCAACAGGCCTCTCCTGTCTCACCTGCTGTTCCCCTCAGCAGTGTATTTCAGGACATCTGCCTGTACTGCTCTCCACTCTGTCTCTGGTGAATCCTCTAACCCCACTCATCTCTGACTATACATCAGCTCTTGTACAAATAAATAAATCTTTTTAAAATAAGATTTATTTTACTTATTTTTGCATACAAGAACTGGGTTTTAGGCCATAGGCAGTGAAAGGATTCACCAGGACAGAGCGGGGAGCAGAACAGGCAGATCTACTGAAATACACTACTGAAGGGGACAGTGTGCAAGACAGGAGAGGTCTGCTGTGCCAGCTAGGTTAGCTCCTGGCCTGGGGTTGAACTGAAGTCACAGTGGCTGGGAAAGCTTGATAGCGCTGGGAATTTAACTCTTGCACCACTAGGGAGGCCCCCAACAGTTTAAATTTTTACCTTTCCCCAAGAAGCAGTATAAAAATCAAGAACGCAAACACTTCTCTATCTCTACATTATTACCATTTTCAAAGCAAACAAAATAAAAGAAAAAGTGAAATATTTAAATGAGCCACAAAAGAACAACATAAATACATACAAGCACGCTAAAACTGAATGACATAAATGATCATTCACCGGTGTTTCGCGACAAAGAGACAGTCATAAAAAATACTAGAAAATACAGCTGAGGGAACAGCATTTCAACTGGAAAGAGCGCAGGATTCAGTCATTTGCCTCTGTTGGAGGCCACACGATGGCGCTGCAGGCTAAAGCGCCAGTACGGGGAAGGGAATTGCACAAGCTGCGGAAGCCTCTTAACAAAAAAAGGAACATTGCAGAAGGTAGTCTAGGAGAAAAGCTGTAGCCACCCAGGACTGGGAAAGAAGAAAATCAGATTCTTGCTACTACGTGGAATAGATGTTGGGTTTGCGATTGCTGTCTTTTATACTGGGAGCCGTATTTGTGATCAAAGTTGCAAAAGGCCCTTTCAGAAGAAGCTATGGAGTCTGGAGGATTTCACTGCAACAGACAAAGGCAAGTTCTGCTTCTCTTTCTGTTTGGGGGGTTAGCCATGGCAAGTTCTGAATTTGGACGATATTCAGTTACAGAGGAAACAGAGAGAGGATCATTTGTGGTCAATCTGGCAAAGGATCTGGGGCTAGGGACCAAGGAGCTGGTTGCAAGGGGAGCCCGGGTGGTCTCTGATGATAACAAACAATACTTAATCCTGGACACGCTTACTGGGGATTTGTTCACAAATGAGAAACTGGACCGAGAGAAGCTGTGTGGCCCCACAGAGCCCTGTATGCTGTATTTCCAAATTTTATTGGATAACCCCTTTCAGATTTACCAGGCTGAGCTGAGGGTCAGAGACATAAATGATCATTCACCGGTGTTTCGGGACAAAGAGACAGTCATAAAAATACTAGAAAATACAGCTGAGGGAACAGCATTTCGACTGGAAAGAGCACAGGATTCAGATGGAGGACTTAATGGTGTCAAAAATTATACCATCAGCCCCAACTACTTTTTCCACATTAAAATTAGTGACAGTGATGAAGGCATGATATATCCAGAGCTAGTGTTGGATATGGCACTGGATCGGGAGAAGGAGCAGGAGGTCAGTTTAACACTCACAGCACTGGATGGTGGGTCTCCACCCAGGTCTGGGACCACCACCATACACATTGTGATCCTAGATGTCAATGACAATGCCCCAAAGTTTTCTCAGGAAATCTACAACGCCCAGGCTACTGAAAACAGCCCAGTAGGGTCGCTTATTACTAAAGTCTCTGCAGGAGATGTAGACACTGGCGTCTATGCAGCTATATCTTACTCATTTTTTGATGTTTCTGAAGATATTCTAACAACCTTTCAAATCAATTCTTTCTCTGGGGAAATCAGTCTCCGAGTATTGCTTGATTATGAGATGGTAAAATCTTACAAAATAAACATACAGGCAATTGATGGTGGGGGCCTTTCAGCAAGATGTATGGTTTTAGTTGAGGTATTAGATGCCAATGACAACCCCCCTGAACTGATTATGTCCTCACTTTCCAACAACATTGCTGAAAACTCCCCAGAGACTGTACTGGCTGTTTTTAGGATTAAAGACAGAGACTCTGGAGAAAATGGAAAGATGGACTGTCACATTCAGGATAACCTGCCATTTGTTCTAAGACCCTCTGTGGAGAATTTTTACATCCTAATGACAGATGGAGCGCTGGACAGAGAAAGCCAGTCCGAGTACAACATCACGATCACTGTCAGGGACATGGGCACCCCCAGGCTGCAGACCCAGCACAACATCACAGTGCTGGTGTCCGACGTCAACGACAACGCCCCCGCCTTCAGCCAAAGCGCCTACACGCTGCTGGTGCGCGAGAACAACAGCCCCGCCCTGCACAT